GAGAGAGAGAGAGAGAGAGAGAGAGAGAGAGAGAGAGAGAGAGAGAGGCAACCATTTTAGTATTTTCTGCAGACTCCTTGAAAACCATATCAGATTAAAAACTAGCATATTAGAAAGTGAATTGCATCCTAGCTTGTTCTATAAGGACAATTGTCTACAACAACAGTAATAAAAATTAAAATTAAATGTGATTCACTCCATCTACAGTCTGAAATTATGAAATTCTCTCTGTTCCTTCCATAAACCAGGTCTAAAATAGATCAGACTAAAAAACGTATAAATTCTAAAGTCATCTATTGAGTATCATTATTGAACCAAAGGAATTAGTACATTGAGACCTGATATTTTAGACACCACACCAATCTAGCTTTCTTTAGAAAACATAGTATTTTTATTGTAAATATGTATTGATTTTTATTTTTATGTTCCTTTTGTCTTTCCCAAATCTGTGTAGCTCTTCAAATTAGAAGACCTAAGAAAGCAACGTCTTGAAGGTTTGGCTACATTAATCCAAAAAATTTACAGGGGCTGGAAGTGCCGCACATATTTCCTTCTCATGAAAAAAAGTCAGATTGTGATTTCCGCCTGGTATAGAAAATATGCGGTAAGATGGGATTTTATTTGTTAGGTTTTATTTCTGCACCTTCAGTGTGGATCACAGCAATTTAAAAAAATGCTAACATGTCCAACAAAATAGAAGAGTAATTGACAGTCAAAATGCACATCAGCTTGGATACTCTGATTTGGAGTTTGATAGATTAAGGCACTGTTATAATTTAATAATTATAAGACAGTTGCTTAAGTAATAGCTCACTGTAGATCTTTTCTCTTGCTTAAAAATAACACTTTGATTTTAATTTGAAAAGTAAACAAATTAGTTGCTTATGTGTTATTGCTAGGAAATATGTTTGGGAAGCAGCAGCTTTTAAGCTTGTAAATAGAAAGTCTGAAGTAATGGAAAAAACTGTTTCTCACTGCAGCTACAACAAAACCATTGTTAATTAAAATATGATTTATATGCCTCTTATTTAGTTATTAATCATGCTAATTAATGACCATATAATTATTTTCATGTTTCTAGTCCCATAAAATATATGTCACAATAAAACCATTGAAGGCATTGTTTGTTGTAATGTGCTCTGTATACTTTCTTAGATAGCATAAAGACCAAATGAAAAAGTGTGTGGTTTATTTAGTAACACAGTATTTTAAAACTCAACACATGTTTCTATATGCACATACTTTGTTTTTTTTTTAATACAGCAACAAAAGAAGTACCAGCAGATCAAGCGCTCTGCCATCATTGTACAGTCTTACATCAGAGGATGGAAAGTGAGTTTAGAGATTTGCTTCAGTAGATTTTTCTTTTCTTTTTTTTTCACTGTATGAGTTCAATATAGGCATTTGAGTGAGATACCCCAATATCAAGGAGTAGACCATTCTTGGGCTGAGGTAGCTCCCGGCCATATTTCTTACCATAGTGCATTCTTCAAATTAACCCCAGAGAAATTTGGCGTAAAAAAAAATCTGGATTTTTTTTTTTTTTTTTTTTGGTAGCATGAACTTTCGCTTACAAGAAAAAGTGCTAAACTTAGTGTGTTAAGTGCAGGTAGAACTGAGTTTTAAAATGTCTACTAACCACTCCCAAAACTTGCCAAATTGTTTTTATTTGCTCCTAAGTGAATGCATCAGGCCCCAAACCAAGAATGAAACGTGGTGATTCTTCCAAGCTGAATTCATTGTTTCACACCTATAAACAAAATCTTGCCAGACTGAGGATTCTACTATATGAATTTACCCTATACTCTGTGAACTATTAGGGAGGGGCTGTCTTCACCCTCTTTCTCTCACATGACTTGCCTCTTGCTCCTCTGGAATGCACCCCTACCTCCTGGAGATCCACTTCCTAACTGCATTCCATGTTTTCCATGGCTATTTTGTCCTTAAAAGAGAAAAATACATCTCCTGGCTACAAAAAGATTATCCTGATAGTATCATGTCTAAGGAGATTCTCAGTCATCCAGATCATGCTGGTCCCAGAGGTGCTTTTTCAAAAGGCAACTGGACTTTCTTGTTTTTCCCCTTTTCTTTAAAATCTTAAAATTATGTTACTGGGGAACATGGAGGCATAATATCAACCAGTTATATTTTATCGGAAACAGAAATATTTATTTTTCTATAATAAGATACTCTGCCACCACCTCCCTTATCCTTAGTTAAATAAATATGAATGCTAGTTTCATCTAGCAGTTAAAGTGCTGGATTTGGAACAGAAAAATCTGGCTTCTAGTCCTGCCTTAGATACAGAAACAAAATGGGAAACTTTAAGCAAGTCCCTTTGTGTCAGCCCTAGGAAGATGGAACGGACAAGCCACCTGTGAAAATGTGCCAAGAAAACTCCATGAACATGTCCAGGCAGTTGCTAGGTGTCAAGCCTGACTTGAAGGCAGCAGCACCTACCCCACAAAAGTATAATTAATGTTTCCCACTAGACACAATTTCCTCTTAGTGCACCTCAATTGTCAAAGCAGCTTCTTGGGTTAAATGGCTGATTTGGCACTAGGCAATCAGTGGTAGGGTTATAGAAATGCGACTATGCCATGCCAATTTTAATTCTAGCCTCAGTGGTTAAATAGCCTGTCCACGTTTATGTGCCAAAAGAATCTAAGTGCAAAACTAATTAAATAAAATGTAGTTTATGGACTGTGGTTGGAATTATTATGCTTAAAATAACCTGCTTCTCTCCCCCCCCCCTTTTTTTCATTCTCATTTAAAGTCTTGGTATAATCTGCGTTGCTTGCATCTACTTATTGTTTTTAAAACATGAGTGGTTGTGGGTTAAAATTCCATGTCAGCAGCAGAATTTGATGAGTCTAGAAAAGCTAGTTTAGGCACCAGTCCTACTTAAGTACTGGTAATAACTCTTAGGAAACAAAAATTATATCTCCCCTCGCCCCCCAGCTCTAGTTTTAAAAGTTTTGAACAATTTTAATATTTTTTAACCTTGCATGTTGGGACACTAAACAGAATGGCATAGAATTGTTGGGTTTAGATAAAATAGTGATGAAGCCTTTATAACTCTTTAGAGCAGGGGTGTCAGACTCAAGGCTCATGGGGTGCTTAGATCTAGCCCGTGAGGCCAGCCTGGAAACAACAAAGGATCTGCCTGCAGTGCCTCTGCCAGTGAAAATGGAGCTTGGGGCCTGCATTTTTGGCCGTGATAACCTCCTGCAGCCCTCTGCCAGTGAAAATGGAACTCGGGAGGCGTGTGCTCCATTTTCACTGCCACAGGGCTGCGGGAGGCCGTTGTGGCTGAAAACACGCCCCTCCGAGCTTCATTTTTGCTGGCAGAGGGCTAGCAAAACAAACTAAAAACAAAATAAAAGGAGAAATGTTTCCCCTTTTGCATTTGAGCATTCAAGAAGGGACAGGAACGGAGAAAGGGAAAGAGGAAAGACAAAGAAAAAGAAGGGAAGATGGGAAGAGAGCAAGGAAGGAAAAATAAGGAAAGGGGGCACAAAAAGGAAGGAGAATGAAGAGGGAAGGAAAAAGAAGAGGGAGGGAAGGAAGGAAGGAAGGAAGGAAGGAAGGAAGGAAGGAA